GGCCTGTTTGGGAAGAAGTCAGGTATTGACTGCTCAGAAGGAGTTAGATGAACTGAGCTCTAGCTCTCTGTTATCTAAATATCTTGTCAAGCCTCAAGTTCTTCATAGCTGATGGAGAAACACTGGCACTTCCACAGAGCTATTCATGCAGTCTCTGGCAAATATCTACATTAGACTGGGAATTACTCTCTGAAAATGCCCATTTTCTTAACCAGCTGTGCAAGGAGTCCATAGTACTCAATCCTAATCCTGTAGGCAGAGTTCTCTGTTACTGTGTACCTCAGTACTCAGCAGTGCCCAGAACAGGATCTGTTGAAGTGTCTTGTGGGTATTCTCCCATTTTCCACGTTGATTAAGCATCTCAACTGGTAATATGCAAGCTACTAATTTTGCCCTAATGTGGACCTGTCAGGTGGCTAGGGTCTACATCCAGACCTAGGATCCAGAAAATGCTGTTGGGTTTGCTCAGAGATGCACAGTCTTAGGCTTGTCCTCTGTTAATGATGGATACAATTCGATGTGATGAATCCATGCTTTTTCATTCCCCAGTATTGTTAATCATCTTGGCTTTCCCATCAAACATCTGTAGCTATCTGTAACTCAAGATTTACTGTTTACATGTAGCTCTGCATTATAGAAACATCCTGTATTGCTATCTCAACAACCTAGATTGATGCATTGATATGATTGAGGGATGGTAAAGATTGAAGGATGATAAGAGCGGAAAAAAAATAAAGGAAATCTTTCTTAATATAAAATATTCGGTTTTGACTAAAGAGGGGTCACAAAAGGGTCATAATTCGTAATGAAGATAAACCTTTTTATTCCTTATATTTTACCTCTCTTTAGCCACCGTAATACACATAAAGGTCCATAAAGTACAATTTTCTGTCTATTGCAATCAAAGAAAAACATATGAGATGTTTAGTTTGGGAAATCAGTTTCAGTCTTCTGTAACCTACTATTTGCTCTAAGTGGAGTCCAGCACTGCACACTCCTGTTATGAGTTCACAATATATCCATGTGCTGTAGTCTAACAAAATAAAATGATCTGCAAAGGCTGGAGGAAACTAATTGCGAGTAAAGCATAAAACATGTTTTTCTTCAAAGAGTGAGATTCACTATTTGCAACTAATTTAGAAATTACCAAAGCTTTAATTTATCTCTGAGTCTCTACATTTGTACACAACTGACTTTGTTGTGGAAAGACATTTTATGTTCTGTAGTCAGTTGCACAAAAAGGACCTTCTAATTCTCTAGTGGTAGATGAACAGATAATATATTGCAAATCCATTTTTAATGAAAACTTAGAACGTGTTGGCTGCACTCATCTTAACAATGCAAAAATTCATCACAGTGCAACACCTTCCAGGGAGTCAGGCAGTCATTGCTGTTACTGTCATTACTTGGAAGCATCTAAATGAGCGTGGTTTATGCACTGCAAGAGATGACACAAGCCCTGCCACTAATTTTTAAACCATATTTTTTTTTCCTAATATGATACCAAAACACTAAATGCAGAAGATATATATATAGTTACTATCTTTTTTTATCATGAACAAGAACATTAAGAATTGACTTTTCCTTCTGCACAGATTCATGCACAGACACATGAAATGAAATGTGATCTATCCTCCAGCTGAAAGAGCAGTGCGAATGTATATCCTGCTTAGATTAATCTTCCAGAGGCTGGTAATATAAACTTTCTGTATATTGGAAAAAACCTCTAGTCTTTATTGAGCAGAAGCTAAAACATCAAATAGAAGGAAGCAGATTTTAATCCAGATTTACAAGGTGAAATTTCCATTGAATAGAAGTTGTGCAGCCTTCAAATTAATAATTTTTGTTTGAGTCTAGCTATCCTTCTAGATACCTGATGATACCATGGCAATGAGTATGATTAGCAGTATGATAAGAACTATGTATCAATATATCTTATAGACCAAAATTTCCTTTGTGCACATCGGATTTATAGAGCCTAGCTCCAATGCCAAGAATTATGGTTACATCTAGACATCTACAAATTGGAACTCTGAATTAATCATCCAGATTCTATTCACCCTCAGTGGGGAGAAGGGGGTAATTCAGATTCTTGTCTTCTCTAAATGAGTATTTTAGGCAAGCTCTGGAGGTGCTATCTCCATCTGTTAGTAAAGGAATGAAGTGATAGCTCAGATCTTGATTGCAACACTAGAAACATGAAAAGTTGGGACAAATAAATCCCACTTTGTGTTTATCTGGTATGATTGGGCACAGATATGCAAACTTTAGCCTAGATATCTTACTTTTCTTTACCCTAACAGCCAAGCTCAGAAATCACATAATTTTTAATGTACACCAGGTGAAGACCCATGACTGTGCCATTTCCTCATCTTACTGTTTGCTGAAAGTCTGGTGATTAGGAGTGGATTCTATCTACAGGTTTTGCATTCCCCACCTCTCTAACAGTGATCCATAGTACAATTCACACCCCTAAGATTTTCCTGGAAATGAGATGATGACTCTCAGTGGGTCTTCACATCCATCAGGTAAAGGAAGTTCAATTAGTACTAAAAAATTAATTTTAGAAGATGGTCAAGCAGGTGCTGTATTCCACAAGACATCACTCTTCAGGCCAGGCAGAGACTGCACGGCAGTCAAGCTTTGTGCGTTTTCTTTGACAACAAATTAGCTCCTGTCACTGCTGGGAGATGGCCTTTCCTTGCCCATGCTAGTCAGGGTCTGAGCAGCAGGCAGACCCATTCCACCTGAAGGCAGAGGCAGCCACTGTAACAAAGCCCTGTCTTAGCAAACACCTCACGCACGTTCAGAATGCAGTGCGTCGGGCACAGCAGCATGCACAACCATCCACCTGGGGGATGGAATAATATCACCATTTTTAAAAACAGGACTCTGTCAGGTCTCCCAGGAGGGTTCTGACAGCCACCATCATTCATCCACCTTTGCCACCTGGAGCTGGTGTTAACCATGGGGGAAAAAATGATTGCACAGAGTTAAACTTAGATATTGCTGTGAGACCGAAACTGAGACTAAACAAAACTTGATACTAAGCAAACACTTATTTTTGGAGAACCAATCAAAGACTAAATCTAACACTAAATGACCACAATGAATGTGGTAAAACATATTTATTCATTTTGCATATTGCATCCAAACTGCTAATAAGAAACAGGACTCTGCCTAAACGTAAAACTGGAGGAGCTGCACATTTCAGGAGTCATCTGCTGATTAACATCACACAGGGTTATCAAATCCAACAGCACAGTGTCTAAGGGTTTTGGGGTAGCAGCCCGTGGGAAGACAGTGGGCTTCTAAAACACTTGTGCAAGCCTGTCATCTTCAGACTTAAGGATGTGACCTAAACCTCCAGAGTTATGATATATTTTGCAGGCTCTTTGTTTGCATCTCATGCAATGGCCTCAGTATGCAGAAGATCTTTGTAAAATTAATCCCAGAACTTTAAACGGTCTAAGACTTATACCTTCTGGATTTTATTCTAGGGTCTCTTGAGGAAAAAAATCTTGAGGATAAACAACCTATCCCAGGAAAATTGTGCTACTATGGCATATATTTAACAGTTTATGATTGTGGACCAAATGGAGTCTAACAATACTGAAATGAAAACTTCACTTTTAGGAGTGCCCTGGAGGATTCTCTGGCCTATTCAGATCAATGTCTGAATACAGTCCTGTTACTTTTAGTTATAATAGTTTTTATAGTTAAAATGCAAAGCAGATTATATTTTTTAAAGTAATATTTTCTATTTCATGTTGTTTTCGAGCAGTGGGAAAAAGTTGCTTACAACTGATGTTAGGTTACCATCATATTTTTTCACTGTAACAAAAAACATTAGCACAGTGGAATAAAAAAGTTAAAAGAGACTTAAAGTACATTGGAGTTTATTCCTAAAAAGGTAATTCAGGGTGTTTTCCTCATGTAAATTGAGACTTTATCTACTTTTACTTTAAGGAAATCAGAAGAGACTCTAAAAGAACATTCTCCCAGAAAGTGACACAGTATATTCCCCTCCCCAGGGTAAAGAGCATAAAAGGTGTTCTTTCTCAGACAGGGTGCATGCTCATCCACTATTCTATGCAGCCACTGTACTGTATGTGAATGCAAATCACCCATGAATGCCATGGTCAATTTCTCAGTTGCCTGTCTCCATAGCATGCATGTGCATTATGTATTATATGTTTAATAGTGCATCAGCTCCCTGGTGAAAAATCAAGAAAACTTCCGTGTCCTCCTGAAAGAAAACGTGGAATTATTTTATCCACGTTCAGCCAGGTCAGGCTGCAGTATGTTCTCAGGAGAAATTCCAGCTGAATTAAGACAGCACTGCTGTTCAGTGATGTGGTGGATACAGAGGTACTTGGGGCAGCTCAAACACAGGAAGCAGCATGGCTGTATCAGCATGGTGCTCTCTGTAGACTAATTAGTCCTGCTAAGAAGTCCATGCTAAATGCAAATCTGTGCAGTGTTCCTGCCTTCCCTTGGGCTGTGCTGAATGAGCTCTGCTGAGGAAGGCTTTTCTACCTGGAACCAGGGACCTCTAACAGCCACAAAAACTTATGAATCTGTAAAGCATAAGGAGATTGGCCAGCAAGACAGGGACAGTTTTAGGGAGAGAGCCCAGGAAGGCCTGGGAGCTCATTTCCATTGCTCCAGGCATTTGCTCCACATGCCCCTTGGGGTTTGAGACTATGGGGATTCTTACACGAGTTTTTAGTTCACTGGAGGAATACACAACTTCTTTCTGGGGATGAAGCATCATCCTTGAGGTGAGATAAAAATACTAGAAAGGAACAGCAGCTCTGGCACTCGGCAAAATGAAATCAGAAAGCAAAATTACAGAAAGAACTGCTAGTATTTTAGCCTACAAGACACACACACACACAAAATAAAGATGGTGAAGATGAAACTTAAACAAGTGCTTTGTCCAGCATTGTGAAAATACAAATGGGAATGAAGTGAAGAATAAGAATACCAAAGCTTACACCATGTTGCATTGTCCTCCAGATAGTCCTCTGGGAAGCAAGAGGGAAACATATTCAGGGAACAGAAAAACAAAACAAAACAAAACAAAATAAACCACAGGTTATACCAAACAGGCAACCACAGAGAAGATAACGAGTCTATAAGCAGTTGATTTTAAATGAGAAACTTTAGATCATGCTCTACAGAAGCAGGTGTGATCAGTGGTTAAAATTATTTAATTTTTGACAATTTTAAAATTTAGTGATCTTCAGGTGTATTTTCTAGATGCCTGGACTAAGATTGTCACTTTCTGGCACTTTGTAGTAGAGGGATATGGGAAGATTTCTCTGAGTTGTTCAAATGTATACTTTAGGATGAGATGAATTGTGCTTTAGAAATACGTGATCTCAAACCAGTAGCCTAAACCCATGCTTGGACAACTGAATGAAGGCCTTTTTTTCTCTCAGTAAAAATGACAGTCATCTGGACTCAAATCAAGGTAGCTGGTTCTAGGTATCTGCACTACAAATTTCTATACTGAATCAGAAAACTGATTTTTGCTATTGTTACAGTCAGTGTAAGGTGGAATACAGTTACTGAAATGTAGGCAGAGCAAGTGAATTTAGCATCTCTAAGATATTCCATCTTACTTCCAACCAGGTCTCCTGTAACCCTGTGTTCACCTTGAAGAGCATCTCGAAGAGCACAAGGATCTCAAAGAGCATTAAGTGACTATATTTATGTAGCCAAATTTCACATGGTGCAACCTGCAGAGAACAGCTGGGGCTCAGTTCTGTTCTCCCACTTGGATGCCTCATAGTGAACATCCTCTAGGGTGTTCTATCCAGACTTCAGCTGCCAGTCCAGGGGAGCATAAGCATCTCAAATTACTATTCTATCTTCCAACTCAGTTAAATGACTTAAATACTCCAAGGCCTTTCAGTCTTGTCTATCTACATGTGGATATTCCAACTGAGTCTTTTATTTCCCAGTCTTTGAGCACTGTCTGTGACAGATGGGGTGAATCACTCTCCAAAGATGTGTGTCTATCTCCATTGACTTCAGAAAGAGCCTGACTTTTAGGCTCAGTGCTGTGAAGTTGTCATTGAATTGTCTGAGCATAAGTATCTTGAATTGCTTGAGTTTCTGTAGTGTATTCAAGTCAGCTTCCCTCTGCTGCTCCAGAAGTGTACTGGTGTCCTTTAGTCCTCTGTTGGTCCTATATTTCAGATACCCTAGGATGTCTCAGATGATGCTTTTCATCCATGCTGAGACAAGTCTCTCAAGCTCTACATAACTTTCTAAGTGCATCAGATGCTTTAAAACCACATATACCACAGCTTTTGGGGGATATTGAAATTTTTCCACATTTCTTATAATTAATTTTGATCTATTTCTTATTTCTTAAGCCTTACTTGTTACAGCTATGACAGTGACATAGAGAAATCACTTTCTCTCCTTTTAAAATGCAGTGGCTGGATTAATCACATAAGCTCAGGCAAGGATGAAGAAGCATCTTCTTAGATGGGTTCAGTACCTGGTGATTTCAGCATAGGCGTCTTATGAGGGCTGCTTTGTGCAAAATACCTGATAAAATATGCCCAACTTAATTAAGTTTATAAGTGGGGATATGAGTAGTACTAAAACATAATTTGATTCAGATATGCTGCATGTTTGTATAACATTGAGATGCAGAGGAAATATTTTCTAAACTTGGTTTCTTCTGCTGTCAAAGGCAGATAAAAGCAGAATGATTTGTCATTTCTTTTGAGGTTTTTGTAACTGTATGTTTGGACTTTGTGGTGACAGTTTAAAGTTAAGTGGTCTGACAGTGTTTCATGAATACAAACTCCAGAATAGACTTCTAAAAGCATTAATATAACACTGAACAGTCTTCTGAATCACAAGAAAAGACTTGTTTCTTATATCTATAATAATCGAAACGGTCTTTAAGTGTTTGAAAATACCAATAAAATACTAATATTGCAGTGTATTTATATGAAGGAAGCAACAGAAATGATCAGTGTGCAGACAAGAATAATGCTGTGCATGGGGTCCTCCTTACATCCTGTTAACAGTGCAAGGGTTAGGAGTGTCCAAATGAAGCTGGTCCTCCAAGCTCTGGCTATAATTAATGAGGAGAGAAGCATCATTCAGGGAATTACACAGCACATGGAAAGCTGAGGTTCTAAGACAGGTTAAATGGTGTTTCTGTGAGGCAGAAGTGTAGCATTTATATCCTTCTGGGTAAAATTACCCAAGATGGTGTGAGATGCAGGCAGTGACCTTTCCCAAGAGCTGCTAAGGGATTACAGCTCTGAAATAAGGCCGTCTGCTCTAATCCACATAAACTACCTTTCCTAGCTCCACTGAGATCATCAGCCATCTCTGAATTGAGAGATGGTTGGTCCCAGCCCAGAATGAGACAACACATTCATCACTGCCATTTGAAGATGGATTTGATACCAACACTCATCATTAACAGACCATAAATAGTAATTATTTTAAATGCCATCAACAAGAAAAGGAAATAGGAATTAGATCTGAAAATTTTTTAGATTAAGAGCAGCAATATTAAACTCCTTGTTTTTTACCTGAAATAATGCATGAACAAAACTAGTTAAATCATATGGAGATAAGTTCCCCTTTCAAAGTCTAAAAGTTATAAAGAATTATCTGCATTGGCAACTTTCATTAGTTTCAGCCTTTAAAGGCTGGCAGCATAGGACATATCTCTGCTTTATTCAGTGTGTTGCTCAGTATTTTGCAAGTTAATATTTTAAAAGGATATTAATATGTTCAGAAGTATTTTTCTTATGTCAATATGTAATGTATCTTAAACCTTCCTTTTTCATTAAAAACTGCTTGAACTGTTCTACATCATCAGACTAATCCAAGCTGAGCTATGCTTTCAGTCCTTTCGTCTTTATTCTCTTTCTCCCATTTCAGCTGTTTGCAACCTTTAGATTTGACAAAGCATGATTGAAACATAAAGGTTTTGGTGACCTTTCACTTCATCTTGGCCAGTTCTACATTAAGATCCAGTCCTCTGCTCTGAGCAATGTAGAAGGACTGGTTCTCTGAATCTAAAGTGAATTGGTAAAATTAAGATCCTATCAAATATAGGTTGAGTATTGTTAGTCGGATTTTCAGCCTGAGATGTTGCACTGCACTACGATCCTGCTGTGGTAGGATCTACAATGGAGGTAAGCATCTTCTCTGCTTCTCCTTGTAGGATAACCAGGCTACACTATTTCCAGAAGTGCAGAGAACTAACAAATGTTGCTTTTTGCTGCAGGGTAATCCCATGTCTTGACTAGAAATGCCATGTTATTTTCTTATTGAGTTGCCATGAAAATTGACAGAATGGAGTACATAGGGTACAGCATAGACAGAAGTGGTTGGAAAGACTTGGCACTGTGGAAAACTGCTGTGACCATCACATGAATGGCAGCATCAAGAAGATATCTGGGTCCTCATCTGCATTGGTGTATTTGGGTGCTCTCTTTGGCAAGGCAGACCAGTGCTCTGCAAGTGTGCAGCAAAAAACTGGGGGCATTTGATACAGCCTTTTTAAAACCAGAAGCTCTTCCGTTTTGCTCACTGGCTTTACCTAGAGGTGATTGCTGGGATGGTACTAGCAGCTGTAGTAATTAGCCCTCTAAAAATCTATAGATGTATAAATAGCAGGAACATTGAAGTCTGAAATGTGAATCCGATGACTGGTAATAAAGAAAATAATCTTATGTTATTTTTTTTTCCAAAATGATTGAATAAGTAAACAAGATTAACAATCACTGAAGTTTAGCTGATTAAAGTCAATTGTTGAGATGGATGGAAATAAAGCAGTGGTAATTTTAAAATTAAGTAAAGAAGTGAAGCAAACTGAGGTGCCTCTGCAAGGGCGTAAATTAAAGAATTGGGTGATAAAAATGGCCTTAATACACAATTTTTCGTAAAATCAAAAAATATAAAATATTGTTGTAGACTACTCTTGATACATAATTTATGCTGTAAAGTATCTGCAAAGGCTTATGTGGTTTTTGCTCTCTAGGAAAGAGTTTATTCTCTTCTAACAAATCTAATACATAAAAACTGAGCCATACTGCTGTCCTAAAATGAAATTCTATACCATTTCCAATGGAGAAAAAAGACTTTACTGAATGCTGGAACAGCTGGCAAAGAAACTATAAAGAGCAATTAAAAAGCTATTAAATCAGGAGATGACACCTTCTCGTATATAGCCAAGCCTTTTGTACTGATCTGAAAATTGAATATATTTTGCCTTACCAGCCTATCCAAACTTGTGCCAGCAGCAGTTGTAGGTCGCTCCTCTGGGTTATATGGTCTAAACCGGGTATTGAAGTCTTCAGGGACAGAGCGGGAAGATCTCAGGGCAGGTGCTGGTTTTGGTTGGCCACATCCTTGGAAAACCTGAAAAGGACATTCTTGGTTATATGTTGGTTACATGAAAATAATAAAAAAAGGGAAAGCTGGTATTTTGCAGCCTCTTAATTTTTTTTTGTACACTTGAAACAAGATTTGATTGACAATTTTTTACTACTGAATTGAGGGCTTGGCCTGCATTAAAACTCAGGTTAATAATTTAGCATTATTAATCACTTGGTGAAGGTATAGAAACATATAGGGACCTTAAAACCCCCTTAATTTAAGAAGGTGATTATTATGAGAAATTAACATCGGAAAGAATCTTAATTGCTGTCTTTGCAGGAAGAAAAAGCACAAAAGGATGTCCTTTGTGGCAGGACATAGTTGATAACTGTTTTCAGTTTTGTTAAAAGGTGGTATTTACCCAGAATCATTGGTCATCCATAATCGCTACCTACAGCTCTTTCCACCTTGCAATCTTATTTGTAGTCTTAGAGAAAAGGTCAATGATGAAATTGTCTTGTAGCTGGATAACTTTCTCATTCCCTACCAATCCCTCCCTAGAAGAAGGGTAGGGCAGACTACCACTGTGGGCAACAGTGATAATTATTTTCTGCTAGTATGTTTGTTTTCTAGGTATAGAAAATAATGTTCAGTTATGAAATTTTTCATGTACTTCCATTTGGAAAAAAGTTTCAATATTGTGTATCTAGAACGTACTAAAGGACACCAGAGGATACTTTTGACTACTGGATATCAAGCATATTTCCAAGGGGCATTTTCACACATCTGAAAAGAGGTAGAATGTCTATGGAGTTAAAATTTTCAAGTGCTCTCATGAAGTAGAATCCTAGTGTTTGCTTTCATACCAACTTTTTCAGTTTTACAATCACCCCTTTGGTTTTGTGACCATTGCATTTTGGCCATTTCATAATTTTGCCCCATTCAAAAGAAAAAAATTAAATGTCAGAATTTCTCATAAGATATATTATACAAAACCCTGATGCCATACACATACTGTTTGAATTAGCTTTGTAGGGGTGAAAAGGATGCAGATACTGTGTTTTGATTGTAGGACCAAATTACTCTTTTTTGTGTGGCTATGTTGGTTTCTGTGGCCAGGTTTTGGTAGTGAGGGGACTACAGGGGTGGCTTCTGTGACAAGCTGCTGGCAGCTTCCTACATGTCCAGCAGAACCAATGCCAGCCAGCTACAGGGCAGACACTCTGCTGGCCAAGGCTGGGCTGAAAATAAATGACAGTAATTCCTCTGTGATAACGTATTTAAGAAGGAAAAAAGCTCATTGTGCAGATGAAATTGTGGTCAGAGTGGGGTGAGAACATGTGAGAGGAACAACTCTGCAGACACCAGGGTCAGTGCAGAAGGAGGGCAGGAGATGCTCCAGGTGCTGGAGCTGGGATTCTCCTGCAGCCCGTGGAGGGCCATGGGGATGCAGAGATCCACCCTCAGCCCATGGAACAGACCCACACCAGAGCAGGTGGGTGCCTGAGAGGAGGCTGTGACCCCGTGGGGGATGGCCTGTGCTGGAGCAGGGTCCTGGCAGGGACCTGCAGAGCTGTGGAGAGAGGAGCCCACTCTGGAGCAGGGTCCTGGTAGGACTTGTGACCCTGTGAAGGGACCCATGTTGGAGAAGACTGTGCCTGAAGGACTGCACTCTGTGGAAGAGTGACCCCAGTTCATGGTGCAACTTTCAGGGTACATGAAACTGGCTCTCAGTTAGGTTTAATGATGTTAATTTAGAGGCCCCAAATGACACAAAATTCGCTGAAAGAAGCTGATTCATACTAAATATATGTCCAGTCATCAAGCCTGCTTTGGCTCAAAGTCCAGCAAGTCAGCTGTTGTATGGCCATTGGGATTTTTAATTTATGAGTGGAATACTGTTTGTTCTGGTCTCAGAATATCTGTTTTAAGAGTTTCAAGCCTCCCTAGTTCTGGGAACTATTGGACAATAAATTATTTTAATCAACAAAGAAAAATGATTTTAGCTTGTAAAGCTCTAAACCTTTCATCAGGAAAGAATCTTATTTTTCCTCTGTGAAGAAAATTCAGCTAAGATTAATAGTCAAAATTTGCATATGATTATGTAGGGTAGTGTACAATTTAAAGGGTGGAATCTATATGTTAAGAGCATGAATTATACTTACAAAATTTACTTAAGTTTCTTCTGACTTGATCTAAGTTATGCACTGAAAACATAATTGTTTATTTAGATATCTATGAAATCCCGTTTTCTCTATTAAGCAACTGGGTATTTGCCTACAAAGCAAGAGACAATTATCCAAAACATACAACTAGATTCTCAGGAGAAAGGAAAGTGAGGGCACGTCTCCTTAAATGTCCCAGTGTGTGATTGTTAAGCTACTTGTATGACCATGTGGTGCAACTGCAAGTCTACATAATTTATATTTTATCTTTCTTATGATGCACTGAAAAAACCCAACAGGGACTTTGTGGCATTTATCTTCATACAAATAGTTGCAGCAAGTGGTTTTATACAAATTTACATGCAGTCAGACAATAATATTTACATCACAGAAAAAGAACTTGCTTTTTAAATGACTTAACAGAAATGCAATAAGGATACAGTATTCAGTAACTGAATTTTGAGTGCAAAAGAGACATTTTTTAATTTGCATCCTGGTATTAAGTGACAGAACACAAAATGTAAAGATGACAACTGATATTGACAAATGCTTCCTAAGAAGCACGTCAAATACTTCCTTTACAATGGTACTCAGAGGTATAGAACAATTTCAGGAAAAATATTCAGGTGTTTCATTACACATGCTGTGAATTGGAAGCATAAACCCACTCTCTAAAAACTTGTATTTTATATATAATTGGTGCAGTCCATTTCATCTGAATTTCGAGGATGGATTCAATTTGAAATTAAGAAAGTTAAATTTAGTTGTCATCATGTATGTGTCTACATTTAAGCTATACATCTAAGATAGGGGAGATCAAAAGCTTCCTTCTGTTTCTCTCTAATCAGCATCTACAGTAGTTTAGGATGTTCTGGGATATCTGAGACACTTGTTAAGATTTTACAGCACAAACAAATTCCCCACTGAACTGCAGTTAAAGCTCAAATGGACCAAATCTCTATGGTCAGGGATATGAACCAAGCCGTGAGAACAAGCCAACAGAGCCAATGAAGAATTAAATCTCTTGAGCTGACTAAATGGAAGTATCTACTTCAGGCCTAGGATGTAGATACTGTAGAAAAAAGAGCCCTTTTCCCAGGAGAATTTGAAGTTTAGAATTTTTGTGGAAGGCATAGTTTGTTCTCTGCAAAGCCTTGGGTTATCGTGTTATTTAGCCATGTGCTAGTGCTCAGTGTTTCCAGCTGAGTGTCTCTATATGATTCTGCTCCATTGACTCTTCAGATAGAATAGCATTGATTTTTTTACCTGAAATGCCATTATATTTTTCCTGCACAGAGCTCTGGAAAGAACACAGATAAATGAAGAGGTTTCCTTAATATGAAACCTGTGGACTATTTTAAGAAGAACCTTGGATGTAGTTCTGTGAAGATATCCTCCTTATAAATAATGCATAGGTAGTCTGCTATGTCATGGAGCTCATTCATCCATTTAGCTGAAGTAATTGCTGAGAAGGAACATATATTTATAGGTTAAAATGGCACATCCATCAACTCAGATAAAAGAAGATTTAAGACTTACTAAGGGGAAACTCACTTATGGGATAGACTGTATGAAAGTGGAAAAATCTGGTCATGGCAGCCAAATGACTCCTACAGCAGTCTAACATAACTGTATAGGACCAGACTGTGGCAGAAAACAGCTCAATATGTCGTGTTTTGAGCAGCAACGGAGACACGATTATGCTGATATAATCAGATTAGGAATTTTCTCCAATTTGAAAAAAAAAAAAGGATGTTATAACATCTTTTGCACTGTTTCTTTGTTTTCCTCCACTTGTGAATGAGAAATCTCTGCAGATATCAAGTAGTAAACATCCATGTTTTTAAAATGGAGCAGATGTAGCATTTACTTTTTGACTTGAAGCAGGAATCAAAGGTGTTGGTACTGACAGCCTTGTGGGAAAATTGTGGACTCTCAAAACATGCTTGTTTTGGCCAAGATTGAAATGAACATTTATATGTTATGACTCTGAATATGACTACCTGAATAACCTCAGTGAGAATGAGAATGAAAATAAGGTAAATGCTAAGTTATGCTATGCCTGTCTTGGATATGAACTGAACCTTGGGAAACAATGAACAAAATGTAAAAACTTTGCCTGAGAAATAATCAACATGTTGCTTAGCCCTGAATTTGGCACCATATTGCTGAAATCCAAAAAAGGTGTCACTAGAGCATAACAATGAGATTTCAATGAGGCTATCCTGTCTCAGATATTATAAGCAGAAATCCAAGGTAAATCTACTGCACCCTGACCTCTGCCAGAGGCAACCTTCAGGAAACATTATTCTAGTCTGGGTAGACCCTGGCTGCAAAGCATATTCTTAAAAGGTACTGATGTCTTGGGAAGCATCTCAGGCAGCCCAGACTGATTGTTTTGCACTCTCTGTGGTTTGGTTTGTGGAAGGTACTCTGTAAGAATGGCTGCAGGTGTTAGATGATGAATCTATAGAAAAGTGTTTTGATGATCATCAGTCCTTTTCTTCTCTTGGAGAAGGAAACTTTGGGCATATTCAGAGCACATAGATCCTTCCAGAAGAAAGCCGCTGGGCCTTGGGGTGTGACTTTCTATATTGTTGCTCTTTTTTTGACAGGCATCTCCAGCTGTCACAGCTGTCAGGAATGAGACTTTCCCTGAGGCAAAATTAGGAACTTGTGTGTCTGTCATTAAGGGACATGATAGTTGTGCAGGTGGGCAGACAAAAAGCCTAGAGATTTGTGGTCAGACTTCCTAGACAGCCAGTGCTGAATATAAACTGCTGAGAAATACCAAGAAAACAGAGAAAGATTGCAGCCTCAGCATGAATTGGAGGATCTTAATATAATACTAGCTCATGTTTAATGTCAACTTCAACGTGCTGGAAGAATCGACTATAACCATCACACAAAGAAGAAAAGTTAATGGCCGAGGAAAAGAGATGCTCTGTTTTATGCAGTGAGAGATCCTGGAATGTGTCTGAGTCTGCATGTCCTTGGTCAGCAGGACAAAGATAGAAGAGGTACATGTGGTATCTATAATTCTCTGTCTCAGTATTGACGTGCAGCCATCAAAAAAGGAAGACAGAGGGTTTGTGTCTTCTAAGGAAATGAAAGACAAGGAGTGAACTCAAGCAATAAGCCTTGACTGTCTGCACTGATTAATTGTTAAGTCGTTGGCTTTTTCTTGGACTTTTGGAATAGGGAAATTTCATATAACTATTTGAAACAGGAGTGCTGGATTGTGGATTAAATAAGGTCTACTTCTTCTGACTACAAAGAGGATGAAGTAAGTAAGAGCTTCTTGAGGGAGAAACCTTTTGTTTTCATTTTTTCCACTCCTTTTAAAAGAAAGGCAAGATTATATAACATGGCCAAAAATTCTACTGAATACAGCATAGAGTCTTCTCTCAGACATCAATCAGATTTTTAGGGAGAAAAGGCTGCATGTCAGTGGTGAAAAAACATCTATATGTATGTGGGTGTTGCATTTTTCCACTGTAAAAAGGCACTGATTGACTTGTGGAAAAATAGCTATGATTCCTAGTCACCACATTTTTCAGTAGGTACAGCCAAATAAAAGGTGCAAAATTGTCTGAAGAATGAGAAAACAGAAAAGATCATGATTTCAGTACCCTGCTTGAAGCTTTCTCAGTGGCATCTCAGAATAATTGACAAGAGTGGCTTTTTTCCTGCATTAGATCTGCAATTGCATTCCATGCATCCATCCTATTACATCTGGTGAGGTATCTGTCATTTTCACCCAAGCTCTAAGTAGTCAATATGAATAAAAGGTGGAAAAATTAGATGACAGAGGATAGATTCAAAGTCTGCTTGTGTATCATCTCTGCAGGTCTGCAGCCTGGCATAGAAGAGCACAGTGCTATACCCAAAGCCTTTGCCTTTTATTAAGGGGTAAAGCATTTTCATGTTACATGAAAAATGATGGATATAACCTGGGAGATCAAGGAAATCACATTTCAGGAGAATAATGGTCTACAGAGAATATACAAAGGTCTCTCAAGTATAGACAGCACTATTATCTATGAAAATATAATGAAATAAATTTTGTTGATGTAATTTCTGTTCTGCAAGATTAAAAAAAATTTTGTCTAAAGTTTCTCTTAGAGGAAAACTTTTGCATTGCAAATGGCATTGCTATTAATCTTTACAGCAAATAAAATATTTTTGAGGGACAGGAGAAACAGTCTGCTCTGCTACAAACAAGTAGTGAGATGAGCTCATGCCAAAACATCATTGGACTCTGGCAGGGGATGCAGCTTTCCAGCTAATGGAAAAACTTTGAAAACCAAACAAGTAAAAAGGAAAACGAAATACACCTGGGCCTGAGGTGAGTTTTAAGTGAAAATATTTTTTGTTTCTTTTTTGAGGTAAGGGCTGAGTTTGCTGAAGCTAACCTTCAAAATATTTGAGAAAATATGGCTGTTAAAACACCTTGATCAGTGGTGCCAGAATAAAGTCTCATCGTACAGGATGTAGACTGCTTTTAAAATCCAAGGAACGTCATGTAGGTTGAAAGCAAAATGCATATTGGAGGAAACTTTTAGCAACCTGCAGCATTGGGGCCATAAAAAGCATCTAATTTTGGGTTGACAGGAAGAATGTAAACCTCAGGCTCCTGCTTTTTGTCCCCACTTCTTTTTCCCAGCTGCAGCAGCTTCCTTCCAAGCAATGGAAAACCACTGACTTCGATGGCGGTCTGGCCAGTACCTAACTGAGTACTGGAAGTTAAATGGGAGACAGAAGCTCCTAATGCAGATGGCTTGGCAAACTGTTGATTTTAAAATTTCAGCTACAGTGCACTCATGAATATTAAGGCAAAGCCATTAATTGTTGACTATTGGCTCGACAGCACCTGCAACTGAATTCAAAGGATCTTATTAACATGGGGTTCAGAGGTGGTGGTGATCTGTGTATACACACACGCATTAAAAATGGAAAGGAGGAAGCTGGTATCATTAGGTCTGTTTATCTTTGTGTCAGAATCCAGACAAAACTCTGTCAAACTGAGGTCTGGTAATCAGAGACCAGCCAATGTAGTATTTCCCTAGAGTGGTTATCAAAGGAGGTTAAACGGAACATTTTGTGTATTCACCTGAAACACATTGTGCTTCGGTCTGACCTAGATAAATCAAAATGTGTTTGGAAGTTAATATGGAGAATCACAGATGAGGCACGAGTGGAAGCCACCAAGTGTACTCTGCAGGATAATGCTTACAGCAGAGTTACCGTTGGTTTTCAGCATGCTCTATTTTCCTTAAATCTGTTACAGCTATTAATTTGAAGTTTAATAAATGGTAGCTTTCTCCCTTCCACTTTCTTTTGAAAAAACTCGAACTTGTTTAACTAGGTGAGGAATTCAAAGGCAGTCTGGTGAGCTGTTGAACAAGCAAAGTAATTTCTGGTGGTCTGGACAATCTTTCTTAAAGTCTAGACAGAAAAATTGGTGGAGATGTTTTTCCCCCCTCTTGTGACATTCAACAACAGAGAAGGCACGACTCACACAGTACCTTTGCTGACACCTGCATGCTGTTTTCTTGCATGTTCATGATGGCTTCAGAAATCTTGACATCAATAGGATCCATGACTGATTCAATGTTGAATGGTCCCTCTAATCTCTCCGCTACCAGAAGCATAGCATCTGTTAAAACACAAAGCAGCCATTCCCTTAAAGAAGGGATACCTTTGGGTTCCTCAGGCAGACCAGCATTGCCAGCTGTAGGTGTGGATACTGAGCACTCCTCAGCAGGAGTCTGAGGGGATGTGTGACAGCAGCACTGTGAAGCCTGCAGGGCAGCTTCCCAGCTGTCAAAAATATCTTCCTCTACTGCTGCCACCACAAAAAGAGGAATAAAGACTTTAAAAGCTAGATTAATATTAGTTGCCATAGCATTATCAAGCTTGGGGTAAAATTATTTTGCACGGCTTCTTGAAACAGCCAGTGCTCTGGAGGGTACTTATGCAATCTCCTTCCCAAGAAAAAGCAGGATGATAGAAATGAATCCTTGGGGCATGTTCTTACAGTTTGTGTGAGATGATCAAAATTTTGATATGATATATCAGGCTGTTATAATTATAGTAGCTGTTTTTTCTGACCTTAATGACCTCATTTTCTTGCAATATGAACAGTAGATGAATATTGGATTTCTGCCATAGTATATAGGTATAATCCATGTTTGCCTTGCTACATTTTCAAAACATGGCTGTAAGTTGCATGCAAAAACATATATGGTTTGTATGTTTTGGATTAAAACAAAAAAGTTTGCTTGACTTCCATTAGAGTCCCTCTGCAAAATAATTTAATATTTTTATGTTCATTAACAAGTAAAAACCAAGCAACTGAACCAAAATTCATAGCAATAAAAAAGGTTTTGCCACCAATCAGATACATTTGTCTATACACAAACACAAATTTATCATAATTTATGCGGCAATAGCCATTTGATAAACTGGATTTACAATATATCCTTTGAATATAATATTCAATCCTTGTCTCCTCTGTTAGATTTAAAGTTTTCAGCAACTAATTAACTTTAAGCAGATTGTAATGCTTGTAACTTTGACATGATAAACAAAAATCTTCACATACTCTCGTCTTTATACATCAGACTTGAGCTCCAGAAAGTACCAAGCAGACTTCCTTCTAAAACAGACCCATGCCTGCTTTGCTGTTGTAAGCACCAGTCCCACAGCAGCTGTGTGGAGAAGGCATGGAGCTCCCCATAGACCTGACAGCAGTGCCTGTGTGATTCACACTTGGCTGCAAGTCAGAGAGGTTTGTTCCAGCATGGACATCTTCTCCTTCCCCATAAAAGCACAAGTGCATGTATGGAGGTATGGGAAGAAGTGGCTGGTGTCTCACTCTAGCAGTTGAGACACACATCTCCATGCACAGCCTCACCCTAGGACTGCATTATGTTGTTTATATGCTCAGTGCATACCCAGAAATCCCACTGAAACTGGAATTGATTGGCATGTAGCACCTAAGCACTATTGCAAATTTACATCTAATATTTCACAGTATTTTTAGGCTGGGAAGAGTGTAATGCCAGTTATTTGGAGTGAGGTGTATAGCACTTGTTGCTAACTGTGAGAAATGATGAGATGATAGGAAATTGGTTTCAAGCAGAGGTGTTATTTTGTCTGCACATTATTTCAAAATTCTCCAGTTTATGTTATTTCCAGTGGGAAATGGTGAAAATGGGAACTACCTCTGAGAGAGAAAACAGTTTTCATGCACACAAAGACACACATATACATATACACATGCACACACAGACACAGATTACTGCAATAAGTTAGCAGTTTTTCCACATGCAAAAAAAATTAAAAAGAGAATTTGTAAGTGTGGACTCTCATGAAATATTTTCTTTCTCATGTTCAGAATGACTTGTATAAAACATTTATGCTTTAGTACCTTGTGGGCAGTGTGACCAGCTTAAGTCCTAGGTACCATGACCAGTACTAGGCATTGTTAGGGCACAGGTGCTGGTGGCTGGATTTTATCTGGACCACTCCAGGCAGCAATTCATAGCTTAAGTCTGTGGAGAAGCTGCTCTGAAGCAGTGAGTAGCTATGAGCCAACAGTGGCACTTGACATTAGAGCCTTGTGATCTTTTATTTAGTTGCCTGGGGAGCAAGGGGTTGAGGGAAAAATATAATTTGAAATATCCACACCTTTATTGATGACAGATACATCTTTATATCAGCAGTTTGTATTTTCATTTTGGGGTTAGGATGTGGGGCAGGATTAATGTTGAGGTAGAGGCCTATATAGAGACATATTTGAAGAGGAAGAGTCTGAGAAATAGATTAAATGCTGTGACAAGAGGTGCTTGAAGAGCTGAAGTAAAACAAGTTCCTCCTGCAATATTATTTCTGAGGCTGACACAAGCTGTGCTTCCAGTTAAGGCTCATTTTAGGGATCAGCTCAGACTAGAAGTCTTGGACAGTTGCACAGTTCAGATGAGTTCTTGCACAAATGGAAAATTAATGTTTGAGGACTCATTTTTACTTCAATTTCAGCAGCTTTGTGGGTCCATGGCTGACTTAGCAGTGACCAGGCTGCTGGGTTATTCTTGTCTCCTTCTGGTAAGAGTACTACAAGCTCAGTCTAGCAAAAGAGGATGATCAAGTGCCACTTCTATGAATGCCAAAACGATTTTCTTAGCCCCTCTCTGACTGGGCTCTTCCTTCTACCCTTTTTCTAACCATCATGCTGATCCTAACTAAATCAAACATATCCAGATGATACCTGACAACCATAGACTTAGGGAAACCTGGAAGAACAAGCTATAATTATTATTGTTAATAAACTCACTTCTGGATTTAACTAGCTTCATACTACATTTTTTTTGAGTTAGGCCTCAGATTTAAATTAAGATTGAATTTTTCATCCATAACACTGATTTTAGGAAGAAACACTGTACAGTGTTTAAGGTGAATTACTCTCTTGGAAAATATTTCCTTGGGTCATTAGGTTGAATTCTCTTTTTTGCCCACCTTAACTCTCACTACAGTGATAAACTTTATTTTTCACTTGTACAGTTCCATATGAGCACATACATACCAGATACCCTGTGCGGTTGAGTGAAATGGAAGTTGTAAGGTTTAATATAGTGAAAATCCGATGAAATATAATAACCTGAGATTTATAACAGGACAATCAAAATGTTGTAATGGTTTTCACCAGACTGTAGCTCTTCAAATTTATAATCGTGTAATTGTATATCAACAAAAAAACCACTGCTGTCCCGAGTCCTTTTTTTTTTCCTTCTAAGTATGTTGTGAATATTATTACATGAGAAGCTGGAAAGATTTCAAAATAAAGTTCAGAAAATCTAGATGCTTTAGTCTTGTAATCCTAATTCTCAAGAACAGACCCTTGAACTGGATAAAAGCCTAGTTGAGTTCAGAGTAAATCTGAGTGGGCTTAACAATTTCCAAATCACCTCAAATAGTAGATATTGGGAACTTAGTTATTATAAAAAAATCTGAAAATTGGGTGATTGACTCACCTGTTTTATATCTTGTTAATATACTTGGACTGTATTGTTCAATTACATATGTTCTTTATTTTTCCTCAGACATCCTGAAGATAGTTTTGGTAAACTTTGTAGGTTTTTTTTTTCTTTTTAGGTTTTATAGGTGCCATTTTAATGAGAAGCACAGGAGAAATTGGACATCATGCTAAGTTATTTATTGTATAACTAAAAAATTCAGAAGACCAGATATGAATTTCAAGATATGGAAATACTTTATGAGCCCTAAGCATCTCCAGGCAAAATAATGAATAGACTAACAATACAAATAGACAAGAATCTGCCTCTGTTTCCTTGGAAATGCATCAAGACTCCTTCTTATTATCTTGATACCAAAAGTGATGTGTTCTTGTGTGTGTTATATTTCTTTCAGAGCAGTTTCCCAGAAAACTTTCTAGTGAATTCCAGATTGAGATAGAAGGAGCAGGGACAATGACACTGATTTATGAGACTTCTGACAAGTCAACCCCCCGCCAAAACTAGGCTGAAATACAAAGTTCTCACAAGAACTTCCTCCTTTTTCTTGCCTCCTTTCTATCATCAAGAAAATGCAAGGAGGGTCTGATAGGGAAAATTCGGGAGGCTGATAAGGAAAGGCATTTTTAGGGTCTCTGTTAATTTGGCTGTGACATCAGTTTTTCCTTTCATGCACATTGTTGCTCTTCTACTTCAAAATTATCAGTGAGATTCCAGCTGTGGCTGAGCTTCCCCCAGGGGAATCCAAAAAAGAATCTATGGATGAAGTCTATAAATGTTGTTTCTTCATGGAAATAAAAGATGGTAAAATACTAAGTTGCATGTCCTTCACAAAACTGTCAGGTATATTTTGTTTTGGGAAAAAAAAGGAGGAAGATCTTATTTTAAATTCCCTATTAAGAGTTCTCTATTTTTCTTCTAGGTATGTGGTCCTGCACTTATTTATGGAGAACTGCAAAGTGTTTGTTCCCAAATCTGCTGGTGAAAAAAAGTAAGGGTAAATTTTTATTTGTGAAACTTCAAAGGATTTGTCTATGGACAAGACCATGGATTGCAGATCAGTTTTAAACAGAATGGCAACCTGTAGCAGTTGACTATGACCTTGAGAGTGGCAATGACTGTTTTGGAAAAAGATATAACTGTTGATATGCTGGGCTGCAAGGCAGGGATCATTTGGTAGCTTCCCAACCTTCTGACCAAGGGCAAGGGGAGGCAGGAGTCTGGATTGTATTTACTAGGTCGTGTAGGTAAAACTCAGTGAGTTTTCCATCATGACACCAAATATAAATAGTGGTCATAAAAATCTTTAGAGCGTTAGATGGCAAACTAATGAAACAAATTAAAAACTAAAAATTGAAAAGTGAAATATGGGTACATATTGACTTTTTACAAATATAATATCAGTGGAAATACATCCCCGTAATACTCTGCCAAAACTTTTACTGCTAGATTATGATTTACTAAAAAAATTCAAGAAGAGGAAAGTAAACCTCTAGCTCACATTTAAGGGAGGTGATAAGAACTCTTCTCAGGAAAACAGAATAAGGCATGACAGTGATGCCAAAACTACTGTTTTCCTTAGGGTCCATAATCCCTTTTTCAAATTATTATTCGTATTACAACT